TAGAAAAAAATTGAAACTTTTCAGTCCTTCTTTGCTCTTATTTCTGCTAGAAATAATGTGACTATGTAATAATAAATTCTACTTAAGGGTTGTATTAGTCCGTTTTCACACTGCTATAAAGAACTGCCCGAGATTGGGTCATTTATAAAGGAAAGAGGTTTAATTGACTCAGTTCAGCATGGCTGGGAAGGCCTAAGGGAACTTACATTCATGGTGGAGGGGGAAGCAAGGCACCTTCTTCACAAGGCAGTAGGAAGAATGACAGAAGGAGGAACTTGCCAAACACTTGAAAACCATCAGATCTCGTGAGCACGCACGCACTCACTATCACGAGAACAGAATGGGAGAAACAGCCCCGTGATTCAATTACCTCCACCTGGTGGCTCCCTGGACACGTGGGGATTATGGGGATTACAATTCAAGATGAGATTTTGGGTGGGAACAGAGCCAAACCATACCAAGCGTTTTTTGTTGTTTCTTCAGTAGTAGTGCCAAAATGCTTTTTAAAGTTAAGCATGGTTCTTATAAGAATATGGAATGAAAACGTGAGAAATGTTTAACTCATTAATAGAGAACGCCAGAGTGGTAAAAGAGCGTTAGAATAACTGAGTACTTATGACCCATGAAGAAAGAATTTGGGAATCAAGTTGCTAGGTTAAATACAAAACTGGTTTATGTTCTTCAGGGCAATAAAGTCAAAACCTTTGGGGTAATCTTTTCTACCAGACAGAATTCATTGCATCTCCTCTGGACAAAAATCTACAAGTTACATGCAACCTCACAGAGGCTGGGCCCTAATCAAGGGTAAATAGAAAATCAAAGAAAGGTACACACACTGCCCCCTGAGAGAATTAAACAGTCGCTGAGTGGGTCTGCTGGCATGATACTGAAATGATATGCAAACCCTTTTGCCTTATTTCTAAGTATTGGATGCTTTTTTTTGACAAAAGATAAAAATTTACATATTGGCAGCTATAGCTTTCTAGTTTCCAAATGGAGTTTGCTCTTAAAATTAATCTGCTTTTCATAATCTTTTGTGCCTGTTTTTAATGAGAAAAATGACCACCAAGCAATGTGGGCATTGTAATAATATTCCATTATATTAAAATGTACTTTAACATTGTTTTGATACTTATACTCTGCTGGGTACTAAAACATTTTATGAACAATTTAAATTTTGTATCAGGACCAAAAAAAGAAGAAAAAAAAGGTCTACATATCTGCTGTGAGTTGATGCCAGCAGCACAAGCATTGATACCCATTGCAGTTTTAAATATTTATGTGGATTTTGGACATAACCTTGCACAAGTTACTGAATTTCTTAGCTTCATCCTCTATGCAAAATGAGACCTTCACTGAACTGCCATATGTGTGATTTTGCGATTACACATATAAACCTGCGATTACACTGTTGTGTTCCTATTTTACTATTACATGCATATTCATAATCTGTTTCAGTGCTTCCTTATAGGTTGCTCGTTTTATAATTTGTCTTGCTACATGTGTTTTATTACCTTCCTGTGATTTTAAAAAGGATAAACTATGTGTTTTAATTGCATCGATTTGTTTTTCCAAAAACAGAAATAACTATACTTACCATCCTTCTTTCCTTTCTGCAGAGTGAAATGGTGTCCTTTGAGGTCCCCTAACATTAGATGTGAAATTTAACAAATCTCCCTCTCCCTCTCTTACCAATCGCCATTTTAAATTATGGGCGTTCTATTCTCACAATTTACTGTCACATTTTTGAGAAATACAGAAAACACCAATGTGAATTGATGCAGAAATTGTTAAAAATGACACACCTAGCTTACACAGCAAATAGGCAGCTTTTCTCTATGCTCTTGAAAAGCTATACCACGTTTGTCAACAATTTGTTCAGCACAGCGATATGTTAACCTAAACCAGAGTATTAGTTCGTTAACCTAAACATATTGCTGAGCTTAACAAACTGTTGACACTAAACACTAAATAAATTCAGCATCAGTTTCAGGCAGAGATGAGCTCTCTGATTTACTCAACACATTTGTAGTTAGAGAACATCGCATGAGACAATCTGGAATTGTGCCACATATTTGGATGAATCCAGAAGCAGCACCTTTTAAAACTCTTAGACCTGTTTTGTGCATGAGCTGTTCTGTTGTGTTTTTTGTTTGTTTTCTGAGATGGAGTCTCACTCTGCCACCCAGCCTGGAGTGCAGTGGTGCAATCTTGGCTCACTGCAACCTCTGCCTCTCAGGTTCAAGCAATTCTCCTGCCTCAGCCTCCCAAGTAGCTGGGACTACAGGTGTGTGCCACCATGCCCGGCTAATTTTTCGTATTTTTAGTAAAGACGGGGTTTCACCACGTTAGCCAGGATGGTCTCGATCTCCTGACCTAGTGATCCACCTGCCTCAGCCTCCCAGTGCTGGGATTACAGGCATGAGCCACTATGCCCGGCTGAGCTGTTATGTTTTTGAAGCACTCTCATGTTTAGTCATTAATTTGCATACAAGTTTTTCTGTGTTATAACTTTATTAAGTGCAGTTTGCATGCAAGACCAGAATATCCAAAAACCTTGAAAAATGGTGCAGAAACTCTGAATATACCTTCACACCATTGAACTGTACAGTTTAAATGGGTGAACTACATGATATATGAATTATATCTTAATAAAACAAAAAACTAGCAGAGTAAACATTCATGCTCAGCCTAGGCAATGTGATGAAACCCCATCTCTACAAAATATACAAAAATTAGCTGGGCATGATGGCGCATGCCTATAGTCCAAGCTACTTAGGAGACTGTGGTGGGAGGGTCACCTGAGATCAGGGAGGTCAAGGCTGCAGTGAGCTGTCATCATGCCACTGCAATCCAGCCTGGTCAACAGAGTTAGACCCTGTCTCAAAAAAGAAAAAAAAAATCCATGCAATTACGGTTTATACACAAACTTTACTTTCGAGTTAAATTTTTAAGGGAGCTAGACTTGGCAGAAAGGGAGACATTGAGACGAGAATCAGTGTAAACGCTGAGTGGTAGGTAGGGTTGAACTATCATGCCCATCCAGAGAGAGTTAAGGCCTGCAAAATGGCAGGGAGCCAAGACTACATTTAGGATTTACAGCAATGAGAAGCCAGTGAAAAACAGAAAACCAAAAAGACAGAGCAAAAGAGCAAAAAGATAATGACTAAAAGCTGACTCGGGTATTTGCTTTGCTATCATAAAGTAAATCTATGGATTTCATTCAGTTCCAGGTTTCAGAAAAAAACAAATAGCTCCACACTTTTCAACTACTGTTAGGAGTCATTTTTCTAAACTTAAAAGTAACTTAAATCCATTTTATCCTATCTTACCTCACTTTGTGAAACAGAAATAACAACAATTCTGTTTTTATAGAGAAAAAAATTGGAAAACATATTTTTCTAGAAGAAAAAAGAAATAAATACTGAGATGGGGAATTATGAATGATAATGAATATCTTTCAAAGTAAATATCAAAAGTATTATTTGGTCAGTCAGAAACTAAGAATCCAAATAATGCCAAAAGTTTCAAAGCTCGACAAGGTAAATGAATTATTCTTTAGTTATTTCCAGTAACAAGACAAAATGAGTGCCTGGGTCTCCAGTCAGCAAGTGCTGATTTGGAACTTCAGTAACTTTTTTTTTTTACTGATAAAGGATGAAGAAATTTTGAATAAAATCTAACAAACCACATGAAAACTTTAAACAATTTTTCCTTTTCGTATTCCATCTGATCCCAGTCAAGAGTAAAGAGAATATGAGTCAAGAGAAAATAAAGTTATGCATTAAGCACTTGCTACTCTGGGTGTCATGGCTTAAAGATCTCCCTCCCAAGACCTAGGGAACTTGCTTTTTTAAAAAAAGTTTTCCTAAAAGGGATTTTTCTACATTCTCATGCAAGTTTATATATATATATGTATATGTATATATATATATATATATATATATATATATTTAGATTTCCAACAAATAGAAAGATAAAACATTTTGGAAAATGTGAATAATTCTAGAAAGAGACTTTGCTTCTAGGCCATCAAACCTAATTTCCTCTTAATATTCACTTACCTACAGCCCAAATTCTCCATGTATTTTGCCAGATATTATTTATGAGCTTCAAACAAGGCAATTACTTTTCTGCTTCATGAGATCACTCAAACACATAAAAAATATTTTAAGGCTGCTGCTGCTGATTACATCTGAGGCCACAGAAGTGACTCTGGAGACACGAAGCAAAGACACTTTCCTTTCTCCTGATTAGGGTAATTTCTACCACAGAACAGCTTTTTGATAGCAGTAAAAAACTAGTTTGGGAGTGAGGCAGGAGAATTGCTTGAACCTGGGAGGCAGAGTTTAAAAAAAAAAAAAAACTAGTTTGGGAGATCTGAGATGCAGGGTCTAAATCTTTGGAAACCAAACAATAAAAAACAAAACATTTAGATGGCATATGGCTAGCTCTGGCTTGCTTTCCCTTCAAGTTCTTCCCGGTTTTTGACAGCCTCATCAGGGCCTAATTGTTTGTTGGCAGCACCCAAATAAAAGAGATTTTTGTTTAAGCTTTATATTTACTAAGTGTTTTTTGTAATTTCCTCACCTCTCTATACATTCCTACCCAATCACCAAATTATTACAGAAAAATTTGAACGGTGCTTGGCTTATAGTATTCAGTAAATGTTGATGATAATTGTCATTATCCAGAGACAGAAAACTACGTTCAATATTTAAATCATAAAGCATTTTATCAATGATTACTTGAGAAAATCAAGTGTAATTCTTTCAAATTATTCTCTTGTAGGACATGTTTATTTTTAAGCCTAAATGTTACGTCTCTGTAGCCTAGCATATAAAATAGCCTTATTCTCAAAGCCAATACTAGGGGGAGAAAATGGACAGGGACTAACTAGATTAAAAGAACTGAGAGAGACATAAAAAAAAAAAAAAATGCAATGAAACTCATTGGTTCTAGATCCAAATAAAAATCTACACACCTCAGAATACAGGCTAGAATGGCTGACATTACAGAATTACTTATTTTATTAGGTATTATAATGGTGGTGTGGTTATAAAGGAGGATGTCTTCAATTTCAGAAAACGTAGGCTGAAATATTTAAAGGTGAAGTACTGTGATCTCTGCACCTTATTTTCAAAGGGTTCAGCAAAAAGTTATATATTTAAATATAGAGAAAAAGCAAATGTGGCACAATGTTAACAACTAATGAATCTAATTGAAGAATTTGTATTTCATTATACTTTCAACTTTTCTGTAGATATAACATTTTTAAAATAAAAAGTTGAGAATAAAAAAAAATTACAAAAATAGTTTTACTGAAGAAAACACCACACATTCCTTTTTACTGTAATATTTAATAATATACACATATACATTGATATTTACACTTCATAAAAAAAACATTAAACCTGAAATTAACTACCTTAAACACATTAACTTTCAATGCTAATGTATAAATTTCTTAAATATAAATCAAAATAGCTCAATATCTATTTTAAATTACTGATAACTAGATGCAGATGTAAGGAATTAAGTTACAAATTTCAATGTTTTTCAAAATTTCTTCTTTGTTTTTCTTCTTTGTCTACAATAGTCTGTTTTAAGCTCAAAGTAGCATCTTGAAATCCAGGATTTAAGTCTAATACCTTCTTGAAATCTTCCAAAGCATTATCAAAATATCCTGTACCAGAACCCAAAAAATGGAAAAGAGAAAATAAACTGAGTATTTCTATATATTATTCATGGCAAAGCTTTGATACACATACTTTTTTGCTTTTATATTTATTTATGAGCCTTCAATCACTTCTAGTAAAGGAATTTTTTTTATCTTAATGATAATATAGAGATGTGTTTTGTGTGCTCTTAGGGAATAATATACCTAAAATTAGCTATGGATTTATTTATTGAGATTTAACAGGTAAATATTAGCAATCATCTTAAAATTTTAACAAAACTGTATAGCCTGTTTCACATAATTGCAGTAAAATTAAGAAACAGGAAACCAATTTTCTTTTGACACTTTAAATGAGAAAGAGTACCTATGGTCCCTTTAATCCAAGAATCTAAACTTCACTTTCTATTGTCTTGTATGTCTTTGAAGATTTTAACTCAGAAAAGTTTCACAGGTGATCATCTGAATTGCCCTTATTTCGCAGCTGGGAATGCACAAGCACAAAATCATGGGGTCACCCCGACTCCCGTGCCCAGGTCCAATTCCCACCCCAGTGCTCTGCTGTGATCTATAACGCCTATCAAAAGCCTAAAATAAACTCAGGGAGGCTTCCTTTGTTCCAAGCTCTAAACCTAAATTTCACATAACTTTAACACTTGATTACCATGTTAGTTTTACATTTGAGAGCTCTGAAATAACAGAATACAATCAACGACAAAAGCCAAAAAGAAAAAAAATTCTTACCCAGCCTATACAGTATCAACCCTCTGTTGTAATATGGAACTTCAAAATTGGGTTGGACTTCTATGGCAGATGTGTAGTCATCCATGGCTTCATAAAAATCAACCCTGAAGTACTTGATTTGCCCCCTGTTGTTATATGCAGTAGCCAAATCCTCAGGGCTGCATTTGCTTTAAACAAAAAGTTCACATTAAAAACAACGTGTTACCAAATTCCTCTCATTTCCGCTTTCATTCTCTTTTGAGTACTGTCAAACTTCACAGCCTATAACATGCAGCATCAAACACTGAAAAACCAAGCTGAAGAAAAAACGTACAAATAAAGAAATGAAACCAATTTTATTTAACCCTGTTATCTACTTTTGTAGGGTTAAACCACTACAATGTCAACCTGAAAATCATACTAACTTTATAGTGTGTTTACTGCCAACTTGTTCTGCTGAATATAACATTAAAATGGCTGTTCATTTTCTAAGCACTCACCAGCAAGGCAAAGAACACGAGTAAGATAAATGCTGAACAAAGAGGAAAAGCCAGCCCAAAGCCCAAGTTTCCTATGGCCAAGTCACTATGTGAATCAATTTCATTCTCAAAATTTTAAGTGATCTTAAAACAATGAGATTTGAAATCATTTTCCACCAATAAAGAACTAAAGTTAATGCTAGGTAAAATTCAACATGCTATGATCCCCAGGAAGTGATCTCTGGGGACAGAGTTGCCCTCCCTCCAGCCTCGGCTGGCATCCTCCCCAATGCCAGGCTGGCTGTAGCTCTTGACCAACCACCAGCTCAACAGGTCACAAACCCTGGCTGCCCTGAACCTTTCTCTGCACAGGACAAATAGTCTGCACAGAGAACATTAGTGGCTCTGCTGAATCAGAAATGATTCTGTTTCCCCTTCTTTTTTCCCAAAGCAGTTCTCAAATTAGAACCAAACAGAACTCATCTGTCACTTCTTTGTAATACCCTGTAGTAAAAAGTATAGTCCTTCAAAAATACCTGTAACTGCAGTTAGTGTAAATAAAAGCTACTTTTCTTAATATCTTGATACTTGAGGTTTCAGACAGAGATTGTAACGACTGCTACCCTGAGAGGCACTCACAGCCCAAGGGCCTCCTTCAAACCAAGTTTGCTAATGATGGGGAGGAACTGCTGGAATTTTAGAAAATGTCTATTCTACAAGACGTGATAGAGACTGGGTGTAAGGATACTTCTGGATGCCACTAAGTACCCTTGTTAAAAGCTAGATTACAAGAGGGCACCACTCTCCTTCATCTATGTCTGACATGACCCTAGTTGAACTGCTCCCAACAGAGAGTTTGAAGAAAAACACAAAACGAAATCTCAGAATGCCAGTAAGGTTTTAGTCATTAGGTCATTAAATCAAGCTTCAAAATTATTGTTATAAGTTTTAATAATTATATATTAATATATTCAGAGAATCATAGAATGTTAGATTTAGAATTAGATCTCATTAAATCAAATTCTAAAAGACTATTTTTCATGTGGAACTCTTGTTTCATATCATAAAAAAATGGACTAACAGTGAAAGCTGACTTTTTTTGTAATATTAAAAGTTTTGTAATGATAGTATTTCTCATAATGGAATTCATTCAAGTTATCTAATCCAAATGTGGACTTTTAGGATTTGCTAACTTTCACAAAGAAATAATATTTTGGAAATTAGATTTATGACTAAAGCTATACTTATTAAAAGAAAATGTCACAAACCATTCAGAGTGAAAGGCATTCAAAAATTGCAAATATTGTTTCAAAATGATTCAGTGACCCAATACTTTAAAAATAAATGTAAGCTCCAAAAGATAAATTGAAGGGGAAAAAGCTGAAATGAAATAATTCAGTTTCAATCCATGAGTTCCTAGAATTTTAGAGCTATCAGGAAATTGAAAGTTTATTTTACAGATGAGAAACTGAGGCCGAGACATTAGCCATGCGGCAGTGCCAAGATTGGAATTCAGGTATGATGCACTCCCTTCTGCGCTATGACAAACTGTCTTTCCTGTGCTGGTAAGGTATAGCTATTATATTTGCTACAGACACTTGTGTTCTTAGGCTGAGATGTGCAAAGAAGGAAGAATAACAAGACTAGACAGCATCAGCATACCTGGTGAGGATGAATATTTTCTGAAATCTACTAGGTAAGTCTATTCTTAAAGCTTGAAACATGAATAGTTTCGTTTTCTATGTTTACTATCTTTTTTATGGGGGAGGTGCACTGAGGAAAGGATGATGGTATCATCTTATTGCCTGTTCAGAAACTTCATTATTCTGGTGTTATTGAAATGAGAAGGCAATTTTATTTTTCTAGTTTAATTCCATATGAGTGTAACAAACAGGTTAAGAATCAAGTCCTTAGTGTTTAGTTAAGCCTCATACAAAAGACAAGCGGGCATCCTGTCCAGAAAACTCAAATACGCAACAGACAACTCACAACTGTTCAAAAAGCTGTTCAACCAACCCCTCTGTTCTTTTCTCATCCTGGTCCACTCCATACCAACAACAATCCCAATCAAGGCAAGACTTGGGAGTAAAAGCAAATGCTACACATCTAGGCACAAGCCAAAAAGATGCTTTGGGTAAGCAGATAGTAGCAGGTGAAGCTGCTAACATCACAAAAAGAAAACCAGCCAGTCATTATGTGCTTCCTTATGAAAGTACACATCCCTACCTAAAAAGTATTCTTGCCATGGTATTGAATCTGAATTCAATTGGATCAAACCTCAGGGTTTAACTACCAACTCACAAGCAATGAGACAGATAACCATATTAAATGACAGAATATATTCAGTCAGCAAGTCCAAAACACGGAAATTCAAAGGACACAAGAATCTGTTTCCTCAACAAATAAAGGAAAAACTGTGTGTTGCGGGGGCAAAGTGGAGAAGAGACTTAAAAAGACGTGATGTGTATACTGACTTGAACCAACTGGGAAAAGTGAACCAAAGAAAAAAAATCACCTTATTAGTCAATCAGAAATGTTCCAACACTGACTATTAACACATATTAAGTAGCTATGTGATGATGACGTGGTGGTTCGTTCTGAAGCATCCATGGATGAGTATTATGGGTAAACTGAATAATGCTTAAACCAAGTGATAAACACCTACATAAACTCCTTCGTTATGCTCTCTTCTCTATATTTGTTTTTCATAAAAGTGAAGACCACCACCAAAAGCCCGGGTTGTGACACTGTGGTGGCCCTACCCGCCGTGACCTCTTCCCTTCCCAGGTCGCAGATTTCCCGCCAGCTAAAATCTCAAATGAAAAATCCCGATCTGTCCTAAGTCTCTGGGTGGCAGTACATATCGTGGAAGAGACCGCTGGGTGAGACGGGGCGGCCCGCGCCAGAGGACCGCGTAGGGGGCTAGGTTCCCGGAAGCTCTCCGCACCGTCCCGGCAGATGGCTCCTTGCGGGTGGGCTCCCTCCCCGTGTTCTCCGCTGCCCTCGTCCTAGGCCTTGCCTCGGCCTTTCTAGAAAAATGAACGTCAGCCTGTTCAGTCCTAGTGTTGGCTTAATATAAACGTCGCCGGTGAGCTCCAGCACCATAGCTAGTAGCCCACACGGCCGCAACGCCGCCCCAACCCCGGGGTCGCCGCGGCCCCAGGTCTCGCGATAGTTACCTCCCGGGACTCAAGCCGCTGGAGGACATGCAGGCGCACTGGCGAATGTAAGCGGAGTATAGCGCTTCGGCCTCCGCGTACTCGCCCCTGTTGAAATGAGCCTGGGCGAGTGCTAGGGTTGCGTGGCTCTCTTGCTCCTGCTGCCCTTCCATAGCAGCCAAGGCCTAGTTTTCGGTGTAGAATCGGGGTTAACCTCTGAGCGGTTAGAGGTGGCACCACAAAGCCCCTTCCGCACCCTGAATCTACCTTCACAACCAACCTTTGCGCTAGGTTTGTGCCTTTTGGGGACCCGTCGTCTCGCGAGATAACTGTTCCGTTGCAGGTAGGCGTTTGCAGTGACCCACCGAGAGATACGATTCTGACGTTGTTACCGTTGGACCCCACTGCCTCGTTTACCAGAAGAGGCGTAGATGCGTGGTCGCAAACTGATTTCCAAGTTCATTGTTTGATGCTAGGAGGCGCTAGCCGTTTGTTACAGCGGATTGGGGGCCGATGACGCTGGAGGCGGAAGAAGCCACAGTTCTGCTTCTGAATGGCGAGTTCGCCTGAGGACTTCCTGTCTCTTCCCAAGCCTTTCAGCGTCCCCACTTTAAACTCCGCGTTTAGGGAGTTCTGAGTAGGCTTTGGCTGCCCTGAGACGCTGAGTCGACGTTGCACGAGGTCTTTGTCCCAAGGTCCAAACTTCTCTACCATTTTGACCCTCTAGAATTGTGTTAGGATCAGTAGTATATTGTGTCGAAAGTCTGGGATTTTTGATGTTATGTTCCCTGGCTATTTATGCCAAAGGGAAATCCAAATAGTAATTAGGTACATTACGTTTAATTTAAATTAAAATTAAGAACAGTTGCTAGCCACGCTACCCTACATGTCTGCCGTGCGCCTTTTCGGCGTCCCTCAATTCTGTTTTAACTTCCCAAAGTACTTGAGCCCCTTTCCGCAGGAAAACTAAAGATGAAAAAAATACATTTGGAGCATGATACTTGCATGCGGAAGTCTTAACAGGACATAAATTATGTGCTTTTTTGCTGCTTTCATTCGATTTTTAATGTTTTCCATTTACCACCACTGAAAAAATACAAATACAGTGGATAAATGTTAAATAAAAACACAGTAGTAGAAAGTAAAAGATTGCATGAATACTGGTGTAGGCAAACGGATACCTTAGCATAACAAAAGCCCAGAAACATGCCCCAAATAGGCTGTATTTTGTAAAAGACATGTAACGTTTGGAAAAAAAACAGATTATTCAAATGAGTGCTATTGGGAGGATTAGTTAACCATTTGGAGAAAAATACATTTAAGCATTTCAGCTCCCAATTGACATATTCATTCTAGGTGAATGAAAAGATTAAATAAAAAGTTTTTTCAGTTCCCATTTTGCCTCTTGGGGCAATGTCATCTTTTCCATATGAAAAAAAAAAAAAACACACACACACAAATTGAAGTATAGGATATAACAAAACCAACTGTGTGTTCTGGGGGGAAGCAACAGAAAAACAAAGACAAGAGATGTTGCAAAAAAGATGGAGGAGGGTTCCCCTCTCCTCAGAGGAAGGACTCAAAACACTGATGTGGCAGTATGCACCGTCCCACATAAAGCCAGGGATGTTCATCATTTTGGCAGATAAGATGGGGATGGCCAAGCATAGTGGCACATGCCTATAATTCCAGAACTTGGGGAGGCCGAGGCGGGCGGATCACCTGAGGTCAGGAGTTCGAGAACAGCCTGGCCAACATGGCGAAACCCTGTCTCTACTAAAAATACAAAAAATTAGCTGGGTGTGGTGGCTGGTGCCTGTAATCACAGCTATTCAGGAGGCTAAGACACGAAAATCACTTGAACTTGGGCAGCAGAGGTTGACAGTGAGCCGAGATTGCTCCACTATACCCCAGCCTGGGATACAGAGCAAGACTCCGTCTCAATAAACAAAAGAAAAAGAAAAGGTGGTCGTTAGGAGGGTATTTCTCCTAAATGGAGGGAAAAAATGGACTCCAAGGGGAAAAAAAAAAAGTAGAAGAAAAGTCTTAAATAGAGGCTGGCGGCCGGGCGCGGTGGCTCACGCCTATAATCCCAGCACTTCGGGAGGCGGAGGCAGGTGGATCACGAGGTCAAGAGATCGAGACCATCCTGGTCAACATGGTGAAACCCTGTCTCTACTAAAAATACAAAAGTTAGCTGGGCATGGTGGCACGCGCCTGTAGTCCCAGCTACTCGGGCGGCTGAGGCAGGAGAACTGCTTGAACCCAGGAGGCGGAGGTTGCGGTGAGGTGAGATCCCACCATTGCACTCCAGCCTGGGTAACAAGAGTGAAACTCCGTCTCAAAAAAAAAAAAAACCAGAGGCTGGCTTTGTTAAGCCTGGAAAAGAAAATTATAAAGCATCTGATAGAATTGACTATAAAAAGGCAGAAAGAAATTTGCAACTTGCAAAAACAGTTGCCATCTTTAACATATGTGAACTTTCTTCTCAAATATTTGTTGAGCATATACTATATGCCACACAATTTTGAAATCTTTAAGTATGACAGTGAACAAAAAGGAGTCCCTGCCATCTCTGAACTTAGCCTAGTAGAAAGATACACACAAAACACACACACACACCAGATGGTGAGTAGTGCTATGGAGAAAAAAACAGTACAGGGAATAGAGAAAAGGTGGTTTCTAATTCATAACGGATGGATGGAGACTTCAAAGGAAAAGTGACATCCTAGTAAAAACCTGAAGCAAGTAAGGGAGCAAACCATACTAATAACGGGCAGAGGAAACAGCAAGTGTAAAAGCCCTGAGTGGAAGTTTTTTGAGACGGGGTCTCACTCTGTCACCTGGACTGGAGAGCAGTGGCGCAGGCTCACTGCAGCCTCAACCTCCCTCTGGGGCTCAGTGATTCTTCCACCTCCGCCCCCTGAGATTAATCACTCCGTGCTAATTTTTGTATTTTTTGTAGAGATGGGTTTCCCCATGTTGCCCAGGCTAATCTCCAACTCTTGGGTTCAAGACATCTGCCCACCTCAGTCTCCCAAAGTGCTAGGATTACAGGCATGAGCCACCGCACCTGGCTAGAAGTTTTGCTTTGTTCTGTTCAAGGAATAACAGGGATATTTGTGTGTCTAAAAACCAGTGATCTAAGAGGAAAATAGCAGAATATGTAATGGAAGTTGGGGATTTGGGAAGGGGGGGTTCTAGACAGGAGTAAGATTCTTAATCTTTTTTGTGCTACGGCACCTTTGCAAGTGTGATGAAACCGTTTCAGTGTTTTGAGGTGTATTTAAAACACGACTACAAAGGAAATTATATTTAAAAAACAGAATATTAACAAATTTAGAAAAAATATATACTTTTATTAACATTATCAAAAACAAGTGGCAAACAAAAAGCTAGCAGAGGAAGAAAATAATAGAAGATTAAAACATAGATAAAACAGAATAGAAAAACAGAAACAAAACCTAAAGTTGATTCTTCAAAAAGATTAACAAAAATTAATAAAACTTGAGCTAAATTGACTAAGATAAAAGACTCAGATTACTAAGATCAGAAATGAAAATGGGAACATTACTATCAATTCTACAGAAATAAAGAGGATTTAAGAGAGTACTATGAACAACTGTATACCAAAAAATGGGACAAACTAGATGAAAGGAACAAATGCCTAGAAACCAAAAACATACCAAGATTGTATCATGAAGAAATAGAAAATCTGAATAGACTTGTGTATTATTGTGCTCTCATACTGCTTATAAAGACATACCTGAGACTGGGAGATTTATTTAAAAAAAAAAAAAAAAAAAAAAGGTTTAATGGACTCACAGTTCCATGTGGCTGGGGAGGCCTCACAATCAATCATGGCAGAAGGCAAAAGGCACATCTTACATGGCAGCAGGAAAGAGAATGAGAGCCAAGTGAAAGGGGAAATCCCTTATAAAACTATCAGATCTTGTGAGACTTATTCACTACCACGAGAACAGTATGGGGGAAACTGCCCCATGATTCAGTTATCTTGCACCAGCTCCCTCCCACAACATGTGGAAATTATGGGAGCTACAATTCAAGATGAGATTTAGGTGAGGACACAGACAAACTATATCAACCTGTAACTTGTAAGGAGATTCAACGAGTAATTTAAAAATAACCTCTTGACAAAAGCCCTGGACCCTGGCTTCACTGATGAATTCTACTAAATATTTAAGAAAGAACTAACACCAGTCTTTCTTAAACTCTTCCAAAACATTTAAAAAGAAAATGCTAAGTCAGTCTATAAAGTCAGCACTGCTATGACACCAAAGCCAAATAGAAACTAGAAGAAAACTGCAGATCAATATAGTTTATGACATTAATGCAAAAACTTCAACAAAATAGTAGCAAATTGAATTCAGCAGCATATTAAAAGGATTATACACCATGACCTAGTGGAATTTATTCCTAGAATGCAAGGATAATTCCACACATGAAAATCAACCAATGGCAGATGAGGAAAAAAAAATCAATGTAATACAGCACAGTAACAGAATGGAGGAAAAAAACTGTATGATCACTGCCATTTAGTTAGAGAAAGCATTTGACAAAAATTCAAAAGCCTTTCATGTCAAAAACACTCAAGCAGGGAATAGAAGGAGTCTACCTCAACATAATAAAAAACATATATAAAAAACACATAGTGAACATCATACTGAACAGTGAAAAACTGAAAGCTTATCCTACAAAATCGGGAACAAGGCAAGGATGCTCACTTTTGTACTCCTATTCAGCATAGCACTGGAAGTTAGCCAGAGTAATTAAGCAAGAAAATAATCTTTAAAAAGTTATCCACATTGGAAAGGAAGAGGTAAAATTATCTCTGTTCATAAATGATATGCTCTTACAGATAACACTAAAAATTCCATTTTAAAAACAGTTATAACTAATGAAGTTGGCAAGGTAGGGGGATATGAAATCACACAAAAATTAGTCGCATTTTTATATACTAACAATGAAGCTATCCCAAAAGCAAGAAAACAATTCCAGCCAGGCACGGTGGCTCACACCTGTAATCTCAGCACTTTGGGAGGCCAAGTTGGGTGGATCTCTTGAGGTCAGGAGTTCAAGACCTGCCTGGCCAACATGGCAAAACCCCATATCTACTAAAAATAGAAAAATTAGCCAGGTGTGGTGGCAGGCACCTGTAATCCCAGCTACTCAGGAAACTGAGGTAGGAGACTCACTTGAGCCTGGGAGATGAAAGTTGCAGGGAGCCAAGATCACACCTGATACCACTGCACTCCAGGCTAGGTGAGAGAGAGAGACTCAGTCAAAGGAAAGGAGAGGGGAGGGAAGGGGGGATGCGGGGGGGGGGGGGGGGGGGGGCAGGGAAGGGAAGGTGAGGAGAAGGAGAGAAAGCAAGGAAGGAAGGAGAGGGAAAAGAAAGAAAACAATTCTACCTACAGTAGCATCAAAAATATATATATTTAGGAATTAACCAAGAAAGTAAAAGATTTGTACAATTTAAACTATAAAAGAGAGTCTAAAGATGGCGGCCTTAGCAGCAAGAGGTGCTGTGGTGCTGTGTGGAAATATCAGTCAGCCGGTTGCTTTTGTGAAAAAAAATTCTTAGACTGAAGCGTCCAGTCAGCTGAGAGCACTTTGCACAGTTTGGACATATATGAAATTGTATTGTACCTTTTGACAAGGAGACTGGCTTTCACAGAGGTTTGGGTTGGGTTCGGTTTTCAGAATAAGAACTTCAGAATGCACTAGAACAGGAAAATCATATTCTAGTTGGAGTAAAGCTCCAGGTTCAAGCTCAAAGGCCAAAAGGTTTGCAAACATCTGATGACGACAATGATTTTTGAGACCGCCAGCCTATTAAAGT